GTTTCTCTTTGAGTTGAAACTCGAGTTAGTACAGAGTTCTTTTCTGAGCTCAATTTTTTCGCATCTTAATTTTCAGATCGAAATGGTTGATCTAGTTGTTGTTTTGAATCAAAAGGAAAATGATCCGATTGGAAGCCGAGTCATTATTGATATTTTGATTTGAAAATTTTAAAATCTCTTCTGTTTTTCTAGTTTGTTTTCAAATTTTCATCGCCACCGTTTCCGGGAATTCGAATAATCTCTTATTTGGAATCCAAACAGAGTTGCTTCGAGTCTGATCCGAGTCAAAGAGGTTCAGAACTCGATCTAGTTTCGACTTCATCTTTTTTTCTAAAAAAATATTCTTCATCTTTATTCTAATTTGAATATTTTGCAAAATGGAAAAATAAACTAATTATTTGGATTATTTTGATAATTACTAAGCGCTGATTAAGATTTGGTGATCAAGTGAAGGAGGACAATGAACACGCAACTTTTGGAGATTGAGCCGAAGGAACTTAAATTCGAATGTGAGTACAGAATTTCTTGGTTGCCCCTTTACTTTTACTGCATAAAGTATTTTTATAATAATTAGATTAGATAAAGTAACTTTTAGTTCTTTATTTTTTTTCTATTGTATGAAAAGATACCAACTGTTTTTTGGAATTATTAGTTTTGTTTGGTGACTAAATACGCGGATGAAACAAGGAGTTGCTTAAACCTGTTTATTTTTCTACAAAATAATATAGTAGTAAATGCAATTCGTGCTTAACTGAATTAGTTCATTGAATCTAACGGATTCATATATCAATATATATAATATTTTTCTATCCTAATTCTGCAAAAAGATAGAATAATAAAAAAGAAAAAGGTTTTTTAGATTTTGTAGCTTTTTTTGGGTTTGTTGTGAGAAAAAAAAGCGAAGGGTTAATATATTCATAAACTTTGATATTTTTTGTCTAATTTTAAATTTATTTTTTTTATGATAGTTATATTGAAGAAGCAATGCTCCTGCTCGGCAACGCTTACAAATAACACTAACCAATATGTTGCTTTCAAGGTCTGAACCTTTACTTTCTGTATTTTTTCATTTTCTAATGTATGTTGTGATTGGAGCAATGATATTTTTGCAGGTTAAAACTACGTCTCCTAAGAAATACTGCGTGCGGCCAAATGTTGGCATCCTTATGCCAAAATCAACCTGTGATTTTACAGGTATGGAATTTTTTGTACTTAAATGTTTTATGTTCTATGTCTGTGCATGTTTTGATCTTATAATGGCTCAGGACTAATGATGTAAGTATATAAAAAATCATGTTATCATTAGAAGTTTATATAGGGTCACTTGGCTGAGGGACGGGAAAGAATTGGGATCCTATCAGGGTAAAATTTTCAGCCTTTCAGGTCTTTAAATGCAGGGCATTTCCTCTGTATTTTCTGGTTTCTTTCTTCATTTGATAATCAAGATTAATTTTCTGAGAGTCCAAATCTAGTGAGGCAACAAAAATTACATGCTTTTGTCAAACATAATCCAATAATCTTGACCTTTAGGACAATCCGCCATTGTGTTGTCTCAGTAGTTGGACAGGTGAATCAAAGCTAGTGATGCAACTTATAAATAAAATGTAGTTCTAAATTTCTCATACGATGTTCTGTATAATTTTTCTCCTCCGTGCTATTTTATATATGACCCTTGTCCTTTTCCATTTAGTTACCATGCAAGCTCAGCGTGAAGCCCCTCCTGATATGATATGCAGAGATAAGTTCTTGATTCAGAGTACCATTGTCCCTGCAGGAACAACTGATGAAAACATTACATCTGCCACAGTAAGTGATTTTCTGCTCTGCTTGTGCTTAATTTGATAATAGTACTTAGCATGTGACTTACAGTCTGTGTTTGCTTTACAGTTTCTTAAGGTCAGTGGAAGATATATTGAAGAGAACAAGCTTAAGGTTGCCCTTGTCAGTCCTCATTCGCCAGTGTTGTCACCAATTAATGGGACAATGAATCAAGGAATGGATTGTGATAGAGTTGGGATTCCTGTACCACTTCCGACGGTAGATAAACTATTTTGCATTATTATATATACGTGTGCACTTTTATGTAAGATTGCATTATCTTTTAAGGGAAAACAATATTCTTTATATCTGAAATGAATTCTTTTTTGTTGAATATGAGATTTAAAAGCAAACTTAATGTACATTGATGATGCTTATGCCGTTTAGAAAATTACTGTTTTCTCTTCTGTGTCAGGTTGCAAATGTTGAAGCATCAAAGATGATAAATATTGAGGATTTAAAGCCAACTAAGGATTTAGAGTGGAAGCCAAAGAAGGGTATGTACTATGAGGAGGAATTAAAGCCAAAGAAGGATGTAGAGTGGAAGCCAAGGAAAGATATGTACTATGAAGAGAAATTAAAGCCAAAGAAGGATGCAGAGCTGAAGCTAAGTAAGGATATGTTCTATGAGGAGGAATTAAAGCCGAAGAAGGATTTAGAACCGAAGCCAATGAATGATGTTATCGGCGAGGACTTAAGTTTAATGAAAGACAGAAACCTGAAGCCAAAGAATAATTCTTTCAATAGCAAGGAGTTAAAGCCAGTGAAAGATGAGGAATCCAAGCCGATGGAGGATATTCTTGGTACCAAGGAACTGAAGACAGTGAGGAAAAAGGAGTTCAATGCATCGAAGGGCAACGAGAGAAAAACATTGACGATCGTGGAGGATATAAAGTTTGCCAAAGATGTGGAGGAAATGAAATCAAAATTAAGTGACCTTGAATCTAAGCTAGGCAAGGTATGTTTGATTTTACGGAAAAGGAACATTGCTTGATAGTGACAGTTAAAAGGAAGGTTGCATTATATTTTGCCATCATTTATTTTGAATCTGTTATTCAGGCTGAAGCAATGATTTCAAAACTGACTGAGGAGAGGAGCCTAAGCACTCAGGCGAGGAAGGCCTTACAAGAAGAACTGGTAAGTAATTTGCCTGTGCATTCTTCTTTTCGTAGATTCATGTTACATATTTCATATATAATGTTAACCGTGTACAGTCAATCCTCCTAGTGACCTTTATAGTGAGAACCATTGATGCCCCTATCACGGGGTGATATTCTAGCTTATTTTTTAGCTTTTGAGCTGATAACGATGAATGGTCATCAACTCTACGTCCTCAAACGTCGTCTCTCTCTCACGTTCTTGGAGTAGGCCATTGATTGTTTTTCACCAGTGATTTCTTTAGCGGAATAATGGCATTTTCAGTAGGAGATGCTCAAAATCCACTTAGCACTCTCCGTTCTCGTTCATCTACGAATGCGTGTTTTTTTTTTTTTTACCGATACAAACATTAACAGTAAAACCGTATATTTACGCAGGCGCTGTTGAGGAAAAGGAGTGATGTGAGAAGAGTTGAAGTGGGATTCCCTTTCCTATTTGTGTGTATGGTAGCAGTGGTAAGTGTGTTTCTGGGATATCAATTGCACCGTTAACAAACAATACTTTGTTTCTCCATGTGATGCCATTACCAGCAACAATCATAGATGGGGTTTTGTTAATAGAGTTTTAAATATTTTGCTTATCATAGCAGGTGTGCACAATATTACAGGGATGGCAATGTAAAGCAAGGATTTGTGAATATTTGTATTAGCTATTTTGCCAGAAAGGAAAATAAAATAGATACCTAAAATATTCAATCTTTTTCATTTGAGTTCTAAAAAATTGACACATGACATAATTAAACAATATTTTAAATGAAAAAGATAGTATTTTTAAATACTTATTTTAACCAAAAAAAAAATTAAGTATCTATTTTGATCAAAATGATAACTTTAAATACTTATTTTGAAAAAAAAATATGATATACTTTAGGTATGTATTTGTGGCATAAGCCTCAAAATTATTTAAAATTATGTAAAATTATTTTTAGTTTAATATATTTTTCATACTTTTATAATATTTTATTATTTAAGATTATTTTAGAATTTTTTATTCTTTTCTTGAAAAAGTTAAATGTCTTTAAAGAAACTTTTAAGTTTAGAAAAATTAGAGATAATCAATCATAAATTTTTTGAATGACTCAATTGACCTATAATTATAAATAACTTTATTTTATTTTTAAAATGATCAAATGTATATATAAGCTTCTGAAAAAGTAAAATGAATATGGCATTATTCTATTTTCAGAACGGAACTGATATCAACCATAATCAAAACCATCCAAGCTGAATTTCACCCATTCCAATCATTAATTTCATTAAATTTGAAATAAAATAAAACTATGATTTGAATAGGAATAATGAATAAAAAATTAAGGTAAACTACACCATATACCACCAAACTTTAGACTAATCGTTATACCGCGAAACTTTGATTTTCGTTTTAATTCTATCACTGGACCGTTAAATCGTTAACAACCAAATCAAAACAACGTCTTTTTGATGAAGTGTCTACCTCGACAGCCATCAGCCATGTCATATTGCCGTTAACGATTTAATGGTTCAGTATACAATTATAACGAAAATCAAAGTTCAATACTACAATTTACAAAATTAAAAATTTAATATCATAGTCAATACAATACCTAAAGTTTGATAATAGCTGACGTAGTTTTTCCGGAAAATTAATCCATCATAAGTATTACTTTTTTTATATTTCTTTTGAGAAGTTGATTATCAGTTTATTAAACAAATAAACTTCACAAAAAAATTAATAAAAATCGAAGTAAAAACAATTTAATCAAGTTAACACTTGTATACATACAAAATAAGCACATTACGTACAAAATAGAATAACATTCTTACCCAAATCATAAATTACGTTTTAAGCTCTCATAGATGTCAAAGGGAAAGAGAGAGCATCAGGTTCTGGACGTAGTTGTTGGAAGAATAAACATGAACCTTATAAACTTAAAAAAAAATATAGCACAAGTCTATACACGAAATATAGATTCCGGAGGCAACTACATACTGCGCCGGCTTCTTTCCGGAAGCGTGTACGTTTTTCGCATATCTTGTTCGGCCATCTCACTGCCATTGAGGCACGTTATGTTCACTCCTTTCCGTTGGGGAGCCGGGAACAAAGGGCACAAAACCCCGGCCACCAAACATCGGTCGCATGAAAGCATTATCAAACTTACGCCAATAGTAATGAACGGTGTGTGCCGGGGTTGCAAGAAGTGCGCGAATGCTGCCCGGTCGATGAATTCCAACAAAACTATCATCAAAGGAGTCCTGAGCACTTCCGAGAAACGGTGCCTCCAACGATTTTGGAGTTGATTGGTCTGAGAGCATGCTGGTTGTTGCTTTAGGATGAGGCAGCAAGAACCTTATTAAAGGCTTAGTTAATAAACCAAAAACCTGTGCAGAACAAACAGATGATTTAACAACATTTTCGAGATATATCTGGCAGATTTGGACTCAACAATCGACATGGGAAAAAATATCTAAAATGCAGCAGAAACGCATAAATACGTCGGAACGTATATAACATGAAACACAGTTTTTCGACATCTGATTATGTATTGCAAATACACATTTATGCTCAGTTAGGTTCCAACGAACGATACAAAAATAAGGCTCTACATCCTAACAATAATTCCAACTCATTCCAAGGCAGCTAAACCATTCTTATGCAATTCGAATTACTTTGAGCAATAACGCAGAAGCGAAGCATTCAACATCGTAAAAAATAAATAAAGGGGAAAAAAGTAGGATAAATTGCAGAGTATATGGCAGATAAAATCAAATTATCAAATATCTAAGCAGAAAAATTAAAGCAGGAGATATCTTACCATAGTGCTGAATAGAACAACGGATATGGTGCTTGTGATCATAATTGCATTCCCTCGCAATTGTGTATGACCTGCCCTTGTAAACTGCATTTGAAGTAAAAAGTCTATCAGATGATATCAATTAGATTTGACGATTTTAGACACGCCCCAATTACATACTACGAGCACGATACAAGTATATGAAAGTAACAATGTGTCAAAATTTAGATAAATACAAGGTACTTAAACAAGATTTGATATGAAGTAATATGACCAAAACAGAAATATACAGATTGCCAGATTCAATGTCAATCAAACAAGTATCTCATTCTATCACTTTCTGAACGTATTCTAAAACATGCATATTTTTTGAAATTCATCTTCGAACAAACTTCTAACCAACTAATCGAAGCTCCAAATCAATGACTTATATAGAAAGGCTTCCTTCTTAAAAGAAGAAATATTATTAAGTCTTTACCTGATTATATGCAAGTGCCATAGATACAGCACCTCTCATGAGACCAGCCCACCATATTATAATCTAAACAAAGAAATCCAGACAAATAGTAACGTCAAATAATATCAATAATTGACTTGGAAGCAAAATGTTAAATATCTCGAACACCTACTTGTTCCCTGAAGCTGATTTTTTCACTAGCGAATTTCTTTGTCAAGTTGGATAAAAATGAGAGGGGAAACACGAAAGCTGCTCTTCCAGCCATAACAAGACCCAGCAGCACAGCGCTAACAGCAATCGACGTTCCAGGGCTACAGAAAAGGAGATCAAACACAATGAAAAACACAGCTCACCCATAAATGGAAGTTAATTTGGTACAAGTTGCATGGGAGAAAAAGCAGGGAGTCAAGACAAAAATGACTCATTAATTTACAATTTATCAAAATCTTGTTAGAGTTCCAAGCAGGTGTGATTGAATAAAAACATACCTATCACTTACAAATCTCCACTTCTCAATGTCCAAGGCATCCATGCCGACATAAAGAAAGATAAAAATCTCAGCAACAAATGACAAGGTTGCAAAAGCATGCCTGAGTTTAACCAAAAGAACTGAATCAGTTGAGGTGTATAAAGCGTTGAAATTGGGATTTTTGTTTTCTCCTAGTATCAACAGCACATGATCTTTATTGCCCTAAATCATCACTGTAAAGGGGACATACTTTGTAGTTACTCTTGAACTCTCAGTCACATTGTGCCAGGTATAATGTGACATCACAATCCCACAAAAGAACACCGTGAGAATGCCACTCAAATAGAACAGCTGCAGGGGAAGCAACATTAAAAGCATATTAATCAAAATAAGTTTGAATACAAAAAAGGAAGAGTTGCAAGAAACTGCTAGTCTTACTTCAGCCATGATATATGAAAGGTAAGCCATGAGCATCATAAGAGCAAACTCACGATCTGTTGAGTGCCTGAATATGTTGAAATCAAGCACATTAAATAATAAGTTCTGGACTTCAAAAAATATCAGTTGAATTCCTCTGTTAAGTAAATATTTCAAACTGACAAATGACTGAAACAGGAATATATTCTTATAGAAGTATTTTCAAGGTTGTTTGATGTGCAGATGACGATTATAGAAAAGTGGGTTGATATGAAGATCCAGATAGTATGGAAACATACCTGCCAAAGTACAACGTTTTGATGATGTAAGCACTAACCAGCCCAACCTGCAAGGAAAAGAAAAATATCACACCTTGGTGGAAGCACACTGTTCACAGAATGAATCAGATTTGCATGAAAAGATACTTACAACCACTCCCAGTACAGTGCTTGCTAAAAACAAATACAAAAAGTTGCCAAAAAACTCGAGAGCAATTTTAGGATTTGTATTTGTAAGGTCAAAACTCTGGATTGCATTGAAAAGCACCACAGATGTTGCATCATTTACAACACTCTCTCCGAAAACCAGACTGTAGAGTAGCGGAGTCTCATCCTGACTAAGCACCTGCACCATCAGAAACAGCTCCATTTTAGCAGGTTTGGTATATTAGTTTCAATTTAGAAAAAAAGCTATCACAATTTTAATCTATGCATACCTGCAGTGTGCAAACAGAATCTGTTGCAGCAAACATTGCACCAATTGCTGAAAGTCATAGGGAACAATAGTGAGGACACTGAAATAAGAAAAAAGACATTTTGGAGAATATGGGAGCAATAAGAGCAATTACCTAGAAAATCCCCAATTTCCAAGGAGCCAATGTCCATTTCCTTGAAGACGTTAATAACACCTGTTTGAAGCATCAGAGTTGCAATCATAACCAGTAAATTAGTCTTGGCAATACTAGGACATACATCAACAAATTAAGTTAAACCCTAAAGCTGCCAACCGGTTACCAACCCTACCCACAAAAATAGAAGAGAAGAAAATGAAATGCATCTGCACAGACTGCACTACAGTAAATTGTATCAATAAAGTCGTCGGAAATACCTAAAGATATAACCGTACAGGATATTAGTGTACCGACAGCCCCAAACAGCATGATGGTCATGAAGTTACGGAAAATTTGCTTCTTTTTCACCTGAAACCTGTCAGACAAAGCAGAGTTCAGAAGGGATTTCAAAAGCAAAAATTTAACTAAATGCAATGAACCTTAATATCACAAAAAAGATATCAATGTTCCTCTCATTTACAATAGTGAAACATTGGGAAATTCTAAATGTACTCAAGTTCAATCCAGAATGAAGAATCAGGGAAGAAGTGTTTAAACAAAGTAAAGTTTTACATTGGAAAAGTATTGCATATCCATCTATTTTACCTTCTATAAACTATAATAAACCATCTCCATGTTTTCCATTCACAAGACAAACGAAAATCAAGGAGAGCAAACTTACCCAGCATTGAATATAATTGGGGGCAGAAGATAAATAAAGAACAGATCTTCACTGAATACCAAAAGATGTGAGCTTTTACCACCACTTATCAACAAAATAATGACCCCAGTTAAAAGACCCTGAAAAAAAAATCAATTATATCAGACAACCGAAAAATATAAACCAAGCAATCAAAACTCATCTGAAATGTCCATGAATGACTAAACCCAGACCAATAGATATCAAGAGAGAAACTCACAATGATAAGGGCAGTGATTGACTCGTTCATCCATCTATTCTCCTCCAAAAGATGGCCAATCACAATGCAAGCGCAAAGAAGTGCAACAAATATGTTCATAGATACCACAGACGCATGGTCTGAAGTAGATAGTGTCTGCAACTTGGTAAAGATAGCAGCTAACTGCAGTGCCACCATATTGACCTCTTTATTTTATTAAAATTTATTGAACAACCAATAGCTTCTAACTGAAAGGGTGCTTCAGATTTAAGTTATCCTTCAACAATTTAAATCTTCCAAAACTTCTATGTCTCAGAACTGTCCATTTCAAGAACTTTCGACTCTTCAATCCTTAAGAACTCTGCATAACAATAAGCAAAGAGTCAGAACTAGCGTATTATTCTTAATATGCATACATATATATAATCAGTTTGCGTTCTTTATTTTCTGGTGGTTGATCATTGTATTCAACTGTTTAGAAACCTAGAAAAAGAAAATTATTAATTCTAAATATATAAAGATAATTAAAAGAAGTAGGAAGTATGTAGAAAGATAGAGAATTCAGAAGCCTCTTCAGTTACGGAGCTCAGTTATTTATAAACAATTTCCTAACTAAAAAAGCAAAAAGTTGATATATATATATACACACATACATATATATATATATATATATATATATAGAAGTAAATTTATGTCCTTCCCCCCCCCCTCCTTTTTTTGTTTCGTTTTTTGTTTTTTTTTTCTTGCATTCATCCACTTTCTCAGCAACCAAACATTTAACATACATAAAGAATCCATTTATAATTATAATTCATCCTTTTTTAAACTTCTTTTTGCAACTATTTCGCGATTTCATTGAGTCAAAATATCAACACACTGCTAAAAGTTTAAAAAATTATTCTCTTACATCACTTACTTTTCCTCCCATAAATCTCAGCAACCAAAAAATAAACACACAAAATTCAACTTACAGAATCGTTTTGTAGAATGAACACCATGCAGTAACAGAACATTCTTGTTTCAGGTCCTTTCAATTTCAGCAACTAATTTGTGATTTTAATGAATAAAATCAACAAACAGTTTCAAGACGCGAACATATCTGAAGAGAAATCTGTTTAAAACCACACACAAAAAAAAAACAAAGGCAAAAAGAGAATCCAAAGTTCCACTGTTTCAAACTTGCCCCACGTGAATCTTCAACTCTGCCACCAATCTCGCAAGAAATTGCCGCAATTCTCAATTTCCAGGCTTCAAATCTTCGTTTTACGATGGTAGAGAAACGATAAAAATCGACAGTGTTCGAAAGAAATCTGGAGTTCCTCTGAATTTTGTGTTTTTGAAGAGAATAAAGTAAAGGAGCTTTTTAAAATTTACAGAAATTTCTGGAAATTTATATATGTAATACATCTGTTATGAGATAGAGAGAGGAAATACAAATAGAGACGTGTTCGACTTGTGATTGGTCGACACAAATAAAAATAATAAAATAATATTAAAATGGGAATTTTAAAAAGGTAAAATTGAATTTGAACTGTTAGATCTATTGAATGAGTAGTTCGGAGTGAGCCACGTGGTTTTGTCGATGGTTTCATGTGAAAATGGACGTATATGATAATAAATCACATAACACGTAGGTACTAGTAAACAACCTTACGTCTCCCTCCTTCAGAAATAGTTTAAATTTTAGTTATTTAAATAAAATATAAAGTAATAGTAAGTAATTTCATTTTCATGTCCAAAAACGGTAAACAAATTATTGATTTTATGAGATTATTTGATTTATGAAATATAATATTATCTTTAAATATAATCCTTATTATTTCATTAATAAAACCAATTGAATACAAATACATTTATGTTCCTTTTTTACCCTCGCTTTGCTAGGTTATTTTTAAAAAAAATTAAAATTAATTGAAAATATATAACTTTGTCCATGCTTATTTTGATTGAATATTATTTTAATTATCAATTAAAATCATTAAAAATATAAAAATAATTTTATAATAATATCAATTATTATTTTAAAATAATGTTTTAAATCCACTAAAATTTTCGCTCCTTAATATTTAATTTCAAGATTAATTAATTCATATATAATTATTTATTAAACAACTTTTAAAAATATGTTTTTTACATAACGTTCACTTACATTAGAAGTATAAAATGTATATAATTTTTATATGATTTATTTTGTATATTTATTAAATTAAATTTATATAATTTAACTCGTTATATTGATTATATACTTTTAAGACGTGATGTATACAAATTTATAAATTAAATTTGTATCATTTAATTGTGGTATCACGCGATATTATATATATGTGTATATATATATATATAAAAGTTTCAATGATAAAAAATGATTTTTCTTTTTAGAGAACTTAAGTTCAAGCAACATTTAAGAAAATTATGAATATATTTTATCTTGTAATCACTCTAGACTATATATATATATATATATATATATATATATATATAAAACTTAAAATTTTAATTATTTTTAATTCTTTTTGTGGTACTTACAAAGTAATATTTGTTTACATTATTTTTTGACCAAAATTATAATCAATAATTAAGTTGAATATTATTATAATTATTTAAGGTTGGTGACCAAGTATTTAGCTCAATAATAGAGATAATGTCTTAACCTAATGCGATGAAAAATTATTTTGGAGAGATGTAATCTTTTTTGAAATCTCTGTAACTTTTGGGTTTATATTGCAGAGATAATTTTGTAGGGATTAAGAGAGTTTTTAGGATACATTGAGTTTTTGTATGTATACCGAATTTTGGAATACATGTGATATCATATACTTGTACTCTTCTTGCTCTCTATATCTATAATGGGTTATTGTTCACCCCGTCTATGGAGGTAACCAAGCCCACACCACATTAAAACTCATCTTATGTGCATGTTTTATTTTATGTTGCTATCGCTTTGATTATTTTTCTACCTTCAAATTCTAACAAATCATAATCTTTCTTAATTATTAAAAATGAACATACATTTTATAAATGTAGGTGCTCGAACCCAAAACTTAAAATATCGAGACTATTTAATAGATTCAAAATTTTAATTATTTTATAAAACTTACAAATAAAAAAGATAATATATACAAGTGTAGTAACGTGGGGATAGAGCTGGGTATATAGGCTAAGGCCCGCGGGCTACCCTTTTAACCCGCAACCCGTGTGGGTTTTGGACATCAAAAACTGAAGCTCGTTTAAATTGCAGGCTTTTTAGCCCGGACTATTAAACCCGCGGGTAGCCCGCGAAGTCCGCAATAGCCCGCTTAATTTAAAATTTATAAAATTTTAGAGAAAATAAATTTAAAGAATTTTATAGAAAAACAAAATAAATTACCTATAAATATGATGTTACTTATAACCATTGTAGTTCTTAAATTTATTAGGGCATTTGTCATAATTCTACCGTTGCTTGATATTTTTTTCATTTACAATGTGTTGAGTTAATCGATTGATGGAATCAGCCAAGAGGGGGTGATTTGGCAATTAAAATTTTGGTGGAAGCTTTTGCAGAAAATTGAAAGTAATTGCACAGCGATTTATAGTGGTTCGACTTTCTCAACCAAAGTCTACGTCCACTACCTTAGCTATTCACACTAAGGATTTTCCAACAAATTCACTAATTTGTTCTTTCTTTTGAGGCCAAAGAGATAACCTTACAACTCCCTCAAGAATATACCCAATTCTTGAGAACACTCTTTCTCAAAGAGAAGATTACAAATTTACAAACTTACAAGGAAATCCTCACAAGGTAGATTGTTTGCACAATTCTAGAACAAAGAAAAGAACACTCAAAAATGAATACAATTGAGTACAAGTAGTGTTCTTGAAAGCAAAATGAATATTGAATGAAAAATAGGCTTGAAATGCTCAAACTTGAGGTTTGATGCTTTCTCTTTGATTCTCTCTTAATTCTTGATTCTTGTTGTTTCTTCTTTTTGATCAATGGCTTCTAAGCTTGTTTAAATACTCCTTCAATTGATTTTGAAAGTTGGGAATGATTAGTGGAGTCAATAGAGCCGTTTAAGTGTGAAAACAATTAATAAAATCAGTTGGGAGCGTCAGTGCATCGATGCATACACAAGGTGCATCGGTGCATCAAGTGTAAAATTCAAATATTTTAACCGTTGGAACACTTAGTGCATCGGTACACTAAGTGTGCATCGATGCATAAAATGCATTCGATGTTTTGAATAAGCCTAAGTGCATCGATGCATAGTGTGTACATCGTTGCATAAAATGCAATCGATGTTTTCATTAAAATCTGAGTCCATCGATGCATGGAGAGTGCATCGATGCATAAGCTGCATTCGATGTTCAATTTATTCATTGGTGCATCGATGCATGGATTGGTGTATCGATGCATGGATTGGTGCATCGGTGCATGGATTGGTGCATCGGTGCATGGATTGGTGCATCGGTGCATGGATTGGTGTATCGATGCATTCCTTAGAAAAATTGATTTTAGGCTTGATTTTGGTCCAAAATACTTTGTGAAAATTGTTTCAAAAATATATTAAACACAATTTTACACATTTAGTAAGGTTTGAAATTGATCTTGAAAGACTTGGAGTAATAATTTGATATTCGATTAATTGAATCGAATATACTTATAAAATCTTAAAATTCATTTATACTTAGTTTTTTATATCGAAACATCAAAATATTTTCAACAATCTCCCCCTTTTTGATATAACAAAACACTTGAGTAATTTTAAGATTTGTTTTAAAAATTTGTTTTTCAAATCAATTTGAAAAGTTGAAAATTACTCCCCCTTACTATGATACATCTTCTCCCCCTTTTGTTAAATAAAAAAGACTAAAAAAAATTAGCCAATTTTTTTTAATAATAACAAAATTAAGCTGTTAAGATCACAATCAAAAGAGAGATTAGTCATTAGTTTCATAATCAAAATTCATATCGAATGTGAAATGGTAAATTGGTCATATATGTCTAATGATGCAAAAATAAGAAAATTCAAACCAAACCAAACATATATGTATTAAGTTCTTATAGCCAAAACAACCAAAACATTAATCCAAACATTCAATCATCCAAAATAAACAATCCAGAAACATCAAAATCAATCCAAGTTTTAAATCCAAGAAAGCATAACAAGGAAAAATCTACTCTATCGGAGGATTGGGAGGAGGAGGAAATCGTGCTTGCATCTCAAGAGAGAGAGCATCCATACGTGTAAGCATCTACCGTTGAAACTCCATTTGTTGAAAAATTGTTTGTTTTTGACGAAATTGATTGTAAAATTTAGTTTAGAATCATAATATAATCAATGTCCGATATAATGTTCATCCTAGAACTAATCAAAACTAGTTCTAAGTAAAAATCAATAAAACAGATGTTTTGAAATATTACCTTAAAAATTTTGGATTGAGAGGAATGTGATGTTTTGCACGATTTGATGATAAAAGCAGGATTGGGAGATGAAGAACGATTGAAATCCGTCAAAATTACGTTGATTTGAAGCTAAATGAGAGATTAGAGAGAGAGGGTGAACGGCGGTTTTGAGAGTGTTTTAAGGGTTTGAGAAAATAAAGAGAAAATTAGGGTTTTTATCCAAAAACCCGATGGATGCATCGATGCATGGCCTTGTGCATCGATGCACATTCAATGAGTGCATCGATGTACATTCAAGGAGTGCATCGGTGCACCTTCATGGTGTATCGATGCACATTCAAAGGGATGCATCGATGCACTGTTCAGTGATCGATGCATTAAGCACAAAAATATCAAAAATCAATTTTAAACACTTAAAATGCTAAATTATTTAGCTCTAGTGGTATTGGCAACTCATATATTGAAAATTAATTATGTTCAATCAATCAATTTTAACCTTTAACATTATTTGAACATATAATAAATTTTCACTAAGAATCATAAACTCCCCCTAACTATTAGCAAAGAATGCAATCAAAATAGTTATTTTTATAAGCATTTTCTTAAAACTAATTAAAAGTGCTAAAATTATTTTAAACACTAAGTGAAAATAGGTCAGTTAAACCTAATTCTCTCATAAGTGTCCAAAATCTTTCTTTGTCTAAAGGTTTTGTAAAAATATCCGCTAATTGGTGCAAAGTATCAACAAATTCTAGAACTACATCTTCCTTAGTGACATGGTCTCTAATGAAGTGATGTTTAATTTCAATGTGCTTAGTTCTAGAGTGTTGGATGGGATTTTTAGTGAGACAAATAGCACTAGTATTGTCACACTTGATAGGAATAGTATCTGCTTCAATTCCATAATCAAAAAGTTGTTGTTTCATCCATAAAACTTGTGCACAACAACTACCGGCTGAAATGTATTCTGCTTCAGTGGTAGATAATGCAACACGT